TGCCTTATCAAGGAAACACCTATAACTATAACCTTCTTATCATCCACATCCTTCTCTGACCCTTTTGTTTTCTTCCTTCCAATAGTTTCCCATCTACAGAAACCAAGGGCTGAAATTTGTTGCTCAACAGAATAAGCTCATTATAACTAAATTCACCACCTTTAACCCTAACGGTACTCTTTCTAGCTTCCTGAAAGTCATTGTTAGCTGATGCATCCCTTGCATGTAAAAGCTTAAGCTCCTCCTGAAATCCTGCTGCCATTTCCCACGATCTACAATTTTCTTTATCTATTGCATCTACTTTAATCATGAATGCCTCTAACTTTTCCTCCAACCTATAAACTGTACATAAAAATTGTACATCTTCATTACTAGCTTCTTTAAAAGTATATTCTAGGCCAGATTTCCCAAATAAAACCCACTCCTTTCACCCATTACACCTAACAAACTAGTCTTAACCATTGTATTCATACTGTTATAGCCTGTAAGTGAAAATAATACTAAATACCAAATACCAGTAGGTTATTGTTAACACTGTTACTGTTAAGCCTAACGTTTAAGAACCAATTATATAATTTTATCACTACTTTGTTTTCACACTAAAGTAATGAAGTTTTTTTTTAATTATATAGAACTTAATTTTAAGAACAATATATGTAAAGTTAATAATAAAACGTATTTACTTTAGCCTGATTTATATTATAACCTACCTATATCTATAAAATATAAGCTGAATTTAAACTAATGGATCTAAGTTCAAATAAACACGTTAATTCTAGAACACCAAGAAACAATAAACTAATTTTTAGATTGTATTTATTTAATAAAACAATTGATTTATACATTTTTGCAATTTACTAGTGAGTATGAATATACCTAAGCCTAAAGTATTGCTCCCCAGTGGCACAGCAGTATGTTTGCGGATTTATACTACTAGAAACCGAGAATGGATACCCGTAGTGGGAAGAACACAGATAGTCCTTTGTGTAGCTTTGTGCTTAATACCAAACAACAACAACAACGTAATGTATTTGACAACATTGTTCCTATATCTAATATGATATCTTATTATATCCTCGATGAGACATTGAAAGATGAATCTTCAATTTAATGTATAAAACAACTTCGTCCCGGATAAAAAAAAATCAATATGAAATTTGATGCAATCGTTTAAAGTCTACGTAATTCTTTTATGAATTCATTGACGTAGGCAAATTTCCCTCGCTCTGTCCATCAGTATTTAAATAACAAAATAGTATTTTTTTTAAGGTTACTCAGGTTTATTTAAATTCTCCAGTGTTTCCTTATGCTTCTTATCCACTTGATATTAGTTATCTCGACTAGGTCTAGGAAAATTATAAATCGCTATTGTAAACACATTACATTCGCATAATCGAGATCAATGTATAATGCTATTGTAAACACATTACCTTCACATCATTTGTAATTAAATATTTATGCTGTTGTGTGATGTACATTTCTGAGCTTAAGTATACAGACTCTAAAGCAAATGGTTGTGTAAATATACTGATAAGAGAAGATGCCGTTCCGGTGTTTCGTTATTGATCTTCATAATCGTCCCAAACATTTGTATGTAATCACTTTATGTACCACTAATAAAACAGCACAACTCTTGCCCTCATTTCTGACATTAAAATATTCTGAAACTACGAGTTTTTGTACGGTTGTATCGAGTTTCACCATCTAACCCTTACCGTTCTCCCTAGACTCTTGGGCTACTCTTTTTACCAACGAATAACGGGATTGACTGTCACATTATAACACTCCCAAGGCTGAAAGGTTTGGTGGAACGGGGATTCGATTATTGCGAGTCGAGCTTTCTAACCACCTAGCGATGCTGGGCCGATATACCTTTAAATGTACCTAAACGTTTGTATTTTTTTAATTTCTGAAAATGATGAGGTTGTTTACTTAAGAGAAAAATTAACAACTAAAAACGATTATAAAATTTTTTATGATGCAAATAAATTATCTTCTGCAGTAATTAGATTTAATGCAACCCTGTGTCATTTTTATTTTGAAAGATTAGCGAATTAGAAAATTCCGAATTAGTCGAATATCATATTACGATAAAAATAGAATTCTGCAATAAAAACACCAAGTTTCCAATCCAACATTGGAAGACAGTCCAAAACCTAAGGAATTATGACATTTAATTTGAATACCTTTAGCAATTTTTCGCAATACATATACTTCTAAAATTTGTTCTCACTTCGAACAAACCACTGGTAATATCTCATTCCACAGGATATAACAAATGATTTCTAGCTCAGTATAAATGATACAATGTTTTTAGATGAATAAATCAATTTCCCAACTATAAAAGAGAACACATTTTTCTATTTTAAACTTTAATGAGACAATAGGAATGTGGTCCACTGGGAAAACGATGGCTTGATGAGAAAGAGGGATTCTAAACTTTCAAATAATTCTTAACACTATATCTAAAAGCCATATGTTTCCAAAAGAGAGTCGTAGAAACTTAAAATGTTTAGAAACACTCAAGTAATCAATGTCAAGTACAGGCTATAAATACTTTTAACACTTTTATAAAATCATTAACAATCAATATTTTTCATTTAATTCATTATAGGTTTAAAGCACACAGTATTCCAGAAATGCGTCAACCACGTGAAAATTCTAATGTTCCACACTTATTAGTTTAAAATTTTATTTTCTACATCATTAGAAATTTATCAAAGCAAAATCCACACAAATCTTTAAGGATAATGTTAATATTAAAAATAAAAAGTAAAATATTCTCCTAAAAAAGAGATTATTAAGGAAACTATACATATTTGACTTACTGGAGATGTTAGCTATGAAATACTTCTTTAAAGGTGTTATTTTTCTTTTGGTTTATTTTTCCTAAATAGAGTCGCTGAAAACATTCAAAAAAATACATATCCAGCCCAATCTATCACTAGATTTGCCATCACTCCATCACTATCCCTGTGGAAGGGAAAATCGAGAAATAAGCTAGGTTTTATTTGGTGTTCGATATTATATGTGTGGTGTTTTGAAATGTATGTTACTCACCACGATGAACCTATATATAAATAAAGGATCACTATGTGAATAAAATATATCTGAAAACATCATATCTGTGAAAGGTTTCTACAAATTCAGTGTGTGTTGTTTTAGCGCAAAGCTACACAATGGACTATCTGAGCTGTGTACGCCGCGGGGAATCGAACCACGTATTTTAACGTTGTAAGTCCGTAGGTTTGCCGCTGACAAACCGGGTGATAGATATAAATTTATCGAATAAAGTTTTACTAGTGTGCTGATAAAGAACCTTTTTTTTAAAAAAAAAAGAAAAATCGAAATTTTGACGGATGTTTTGTTAGTTTTTAATTTTAATGGATGTTTTTAATCGCTTATGTTGCTAAATATTCAGTACGGCAAAATTTCCTTTTTTCTGTCTTCGTTGTTTTGCCAGGATGAAATATGTCATGTATTTCAAGTTATTACGGAAATGCAATTTTAAAACTTAAAATCCATTTAGTATTTCCATTAGTTGGAATGTGCCGAGTTTATGTGATTTTGAGATTGTACACTATTGAAAGTTCACTAGTACATCATATTACAGATGAATGAATACAGACTTGTATTTATACACACACACATACACATCAAGTGGCTCAGTATCAAGTCTGAGGGCTTATAAAGAACTTCGGGCGAAGCTCGGATAGCTCATTGTGCAGCTTTGCTCCTAACAACAATAAACAACTGTATGTCAATATTAAATAGTTTTAAGAGTTTCATAAATCCAATCGTGCTAACAGCTCAATGAAAACTCACAAACCCGATGAAAGGTGGGTTTCAGTTTTCTTTTCTTATTCTTTTTATTCCCCGTGTATATATTTCTACTGAACCAACAGTCGTACTATAATTAACATATTAAAAAAATACAGATGTTGATGTATCGTAACAAATACTGTTTTTGTGAAGTAAAAAAAAAGAAATTCAATTAAACTAAATGCCAGAGATAAGAATTTCAAAATGAAGTCAATCATTACTTCGGAGACTTTAATAAGAAACTTTTTGTAAAATTAATAAAGCCAGCAGTTTAATTTTTTATTTCTCTGTTTTGTATTAAAAAAAGCAATGTTAGAATTATAATAATATATTTTACTAATATGCTTTTACGAATACGATATATTTGGCTGCCTAAATCAAAATTGGACAGCTTAATCGATATGAAATTATATCAAGGTATTTTTTTTTTATGAAATTGGATTACTATATACAGGATTATTATATCAACTTTTAGCTACGTTATGTTTCGTGAATTGTATCTACTATATAGGATTACAAGTAGTGAAGAAGTATCATTATTGAAAGCTAAAACATTAGTCTAAACATGAAGTGTTTGTTTAGTCAGGGGATTTGGACTGAAGGTAAAAGGTGGGAAATTTTCTGACGATGGACATTTACATGCTTACATCGCTTGGACAGTTGCTGGTGGATCAGCTGAAAAGAAAGGCTTAGCACAAGGTATTTTGGTATCAACTTTTATATATTTAAAGTAGTTATTTAGCTAAAAATATATGGGTAAGAGCCCTTTCTCAGACTTACCTAAGAGAAGAGTAGAAACAGGATATGATACAGTGCACACACACACATTACATTATCTTAAACAATTTCAATAAAATTTTTAGATCATTCATGCATGATAACAGAAACATCACTGGTGATTTGACGTAAATCTATAGGAAGAAACAATAGTATATTAATATTGTATCTCCAATTGTGAGGCGGTCAACATTTGTGTTATACTAGTCGCTCCTTTGTACATGTTAATACTTCATGTTAAGTATTATTTCATAAACCATATTACTTAACAAATTATTAAAACATCGGCTATGTTCAATATAATAAAAGTAAAACATTTATTTCACGTTTTAACGTTTCTTCTATACAACTGCAGTGCAAGTATATATATATATATAATATAGAGAGAGAGAGAAAGCTTTGCACTGCATACCTTGTCGAAACGTACCGTAATATATACTCTTCACTAGTTGAGGTTACTTTATTTTATCATCATATTAATATGAATTAATTAAATGTTTATATGGCTTATTTCAATCAGTGTCTACATCCTAATAAACGTTTTTAATATACTGTATTTATAAGATACATCTGCTTTGGATGTTGAAATTATCCATATTAGAGCATATGTTCTTTTATGCATTCACTCTGGGATTTTAACGGTGTACTTGACTAAATATTATGGATTCTTTTGCTACAGGTTAATTCAATATTTGGAATTAATTTAAAATCTGGAAACAAATAATAATTTATTAAACCGTCTACACAAGTTAAAGAGTTAATTTTATTAATTCTACAGAAAATTAATAGCATTTTGTATTAGGAGTTGTTTAAGCAAAATCTCCAAATACGCAGACAGGCGTTCAATAGTCTTATTGACGCTCTAGACACAATAATAAATGTTAATGTTTACAGGCTGACTGCCAAAATGTGCAATATGGTGTTTCATCACACGTTATATCCTACAAGTATGTCATATCTTGCGTTCTTTCAGTTCTATTCGTAGAATCGTATTACACTTTAAATTATACAAGTTATATAATTTGGCAAAATAGTAATAATATTAATAATAATCTGCTTTATGCTTACTAATTTGAAATTATAATTGAACATGTGCATGGACATTAGTGTTCGCCATGCTATTATTGGAGTTAGGATATAAAACATTAACGCCATAACATCACGAATATCTCTTATTAAAAACAATGATGTTATTTGTATTAATAAACAAATAAAATTATATTAACCAGTCTTATTTAGGTAAGAATATAATAGAACTAAATCATCTGCTTTATTTATATGACCTTACCAATCTTGGTATTTAAATGATCTTTCTTATAATTCTTTGTGAAGTATTGTTAATTTATATTCTAAGTGTACTATAAATCATTATTAACACTTATTATTATCTCTCATATGTATGTTCATCTTGTTTTAAAAACTACCCCTTCTTTAAGCATACCGTTTCCTTTTCTCTTTTATAATCAAAAACCCAATTTTGTTGTAACAGAAACACAAGAACCTGGTGCTTTCTTAAACTTGCCGGGTATTGCTTAGCCAGGTTAATCTCAAATAGCTCATGAAAGTAAAATGTGGTTCCTTCCTTGATTAGTTTCTTTTGTAATTTACGATGATCCTGTATGTATGTGGTGTGTTTTATCTCTGCAGGGGACCGTGTATTGGAGTGGAATGGAGTTTCGCTGGTTGACAAAACTTATGAAGAAGTGTCTACTATTATCGGGCGATCGCCAGACACGGTTGATCTGCTAGTGGAAAAGGTTGCATGGAGGTGAGTTATTAATGCATCTGAGCACAAAGAGATTTTATTAATGGATAAGCAACACTAGACAAGTGGGACAGCCTTCTAATCAATGTTTAAAGATAGAACTTTATCATTTTAAAACATAAACCTCACTCAAGACCTTCTAAACCTGTCCTCTACAATATGCTCTTTCTAATAGAACTCTTAATAACTTAAATTACAATACGTGCTCTTCTTTTTATAATTTCTTAGAAATAAAAGAGAAAAACTTTGTGCTGTTGAATTTTTCCGAAGCTATGAAACAGTTACATGTCTTTTGTTGAAGTTTGTTTCAAGTTCTTTTAGTACTGTTAGATCCATTTTCAGAAGTTATAGAAAGCATACATATGTCTTGTTGGAATTTATTTCATGTTTCATAGCATTTATATAATAGATAATTCCTAAAATATTTACACAAGTATGTCCTATTAATGCCAAACTTGTTGCTTTTAATAATACAAAAATGAAAACAATTCAAATTTGTCATCGTAATTTGGTAATTACAGCAAAATGTATGAGCACTTGTTAGAAGAAATTAAACACAGAGAAAAGTGATAATTTATTATTAATATATTCTTGCTTACAAACATTTTACGTTCGTAATAATGCCTTTCAACTTACACATATTAATCAATATTTTACACGTTTTTTGTTGGGTTTTTTTTTCAACTGTTACGGCACCGTTTATTTTGGTCAAATGATTTAATCATTATATCTAAATTATCTTCTCTAACGAGTAGGACAAAATTGTCCCTCGGTGGGACAGCGGTAAGTCTTCGGATTTACAATGCTACAATCAGGGGCTCACTTTCCCTCGGTAAACACAGCAGATAGCGCAATATGGCTTTGTTATAAGAAAAAACACACAGAACAAAATCCCCCCCCCCCGGTGGCTCAGGGGAAAGCCTACAGTCTTATAACACTAAAAATCGGGTTGGGATACCCGCATTGGGCAGAGTACAGATAACCCATTGTGTAGCTTTGCACTCAACAACAAATAAATAATAAAATAAAAAGCTACTATTTAATCATTTTTATTGGCTAAGTAACTAACTGATGAATTTTTGGTATCAAAAGCAATGTTTTCTTTGGGGGCTATTATGCTCTGTCCACCTTAGATATCGAAAACAGATTTTTAACGTTATAAGCCCTCATATTTGCTGCTGAACCACCGGTTGGCAAAATAGTAGCAAAATTTCCCGCGGGAGGTGTGACGTTTATTTCTTTGCCTTCACAAGCATGGCGTGCGAGTGCGCTATTGGTAGGCAGTAGCAAGAGGAAATGTTGAAATGGGTGTCTGTCTCTTAAAAATGATAAAATCGTCAAGGTAAGGGCTTAAACCCATCTTGATCATACCCAAGAACCCATGAAAGTCGGGATGTTTTAAAAGTTTTGTTACAGACAGGCGAACAGACACAAGCCACTAATATAGTACAGGATTTTCTTTGTTAAAAACTGTATTATATCATAGTTTAACCAGTTTTTGGATGTTAGTGACATAAGACCGATTTACATTTAAATAATAGATTGTAAGCTATGTAGTGACTGTTATTTTCCATAGCCTAGTATATCATATAATAAAACTAGAGCAATAAGAAATATTGCATACTTCTCCTCCCGCAGTTCCTTTTCCAGATTTCATGCGTTTAGATTGGATAACGTCCAAGTTCACCTTAGAAAACTCGAAAATTCTTCTCAGATCCAAAATGATCAACGATCCAGATCATTTTTAATATTGTGATAAAGAGACTCAATCTTAATGTGCCCATAAAATTTGGTACACTTTACAGAGTTTACCCAAAATAATTATAAAAATTGCTTCAAGGTGATACAGAATTTGGGAGGACATTCCCATACTGATTTCCCATTTTGTGTAAAATTTTCATGTGCATGGTCTATTAGTTTTTGAGATACGTGCGTGGAAATATAGACAGACAGACACATACGCGGACCTGATTGCAGTATCTTCGCTCTCCCTCCCCTCCGGAAGGGGAGCGATAGTAATGAGTAACATATTTCATTCAGCGTGTATAAAAGCATAGCAGTTTCCTCAAAAATACATGATTAACATCATGTTCTCTTATGTTTCCAGAAATTCTCTAAAACGATCCTTGTGCGAGAGTAATAACGTTATTGAAATTTGGAGCTTATGTAGTTACAAGGTGACAACATGCTAGTTTTTTTTTTTTTTTGCTTTTTTTCTTCAAAACAATCACCCCGGTGTGGATTGTGGGACTTTTAAGATTAGCACCAGTTCATAAACACCAAACAATTGGTTACTGTAAAACAATAAGATAATCTTTAATACTGAACAAGTGAAAGATTTGCTTTTGGTATAGCAAGTTTCTCAAACATTATTAGCTTTTTTTCACTGAACACTGAACTTAAACTTGAACGTCTCAGTTATAAACCTCACTCTGAAGAGTAAAATAATCCATGATTTTCACAGTTTCAGAAAATATTTTTACTTTGTCTTTGAAATAAAAGTTGTTTTTGCAATTCTTATTTGACTGATTAGCCTCCGTAAGTAACAATTCATGTTCAACAGAGGTTTATCTACTTAACAGGAAGCAGTAAAGTACTCAGGATTTTGTTGTCTTGTGTAATGCAGCTTTCAAGTTAGTATAAATAATATATCGTTAATTGGCCTGCGTATTCATTTAGTACATTTCTATGAAACTATTTTTTTATATATAATTAACAGCTTCCAACTTAATGTAAAATATTATCTCATTAGTGTTAATCGTGTTACCTTTAGTAGCATATTTAAGATATATGTTATTCTCAATATTAATTCTCAACTTGTTACAAATTTCAGTTTTAAATTGGTGCACAATTATATAAGCAGTTAAACCTTCAAGCCGTTAACCTTAAATTGTGATAATTGGCTGGCAGCTGTGAAACATGAAGACTGGGGCAGCAGGTCTTGGATGAATTTTATATATTTGTTTCTATCCTAAATAATGTGGCGTCGTTCAATTCAACATCTTTAGCCCCCCAGTGACCCAGCGGTATGCCTGCGGACTTACGACGCTAGAAACCGGGTTTCGATACCTGTGATGGGCAGAGCACAGATGGCCCATTGTGTAGCTTTGTGCTTAATTCCAAACAAATAAACAAACATCAACATCTTTAGAGACTTTTCCCCTATGAACATTTTGCAATAATACCCCAGTGGCACAGCGGTATGTCTGCGGACTTACAACGCTAGAAACCGGGTTTCGATACCCGTGGTGGTCAAAGTACAGATAGCCCATTGTGTATCTTTCTGCTTAACTACAAACAAACATTTTGTAATACAATTAAAAGCATTATAGGTATGAAACTCATTAACTGGTAAAAATAGTCCTTCACATCCTAGGAATTCACAAACATTTCGTTAAAAGGGGCTTAACTTTTAGATATACAGAAAATTCCACAGTTTTGCAATGGTCTAGATAGATAGATAGATAGATATTACTCAGAAAACAACGTTTCGAAAAAGTCTTCCAAGCATCATCCACATATAAAATAAATTTTGTGTATAGTACTGATGACGCCAGAGAAATTAATAGGTTGTTACGATCGTGCTATACTCGTACTTCTCTTTCACTTCTTATGTCCATCAACCTTATTCAGTATGTACTTATTCCTATCAGGAATTGACCCTTACTAATGTAAACATAACAAATTGCTGCTTATTACTGTAATCAATAACACATAAGTTAAAAAATATGTTTTGTTTTTCTACTAGCAGCATAATACTTTCTTCCTTCGCCTCTTTCGGTTTATTCATTCTCTCTGTGTTTTCGTTTTGTTTTGGCTTTACATGTAACCAATACGCTCTGTACAATCTATATATATTGTTGAATGAAAATTTAGATTATATTGCAGATTCTTAATGTTGTGACTAATTCAGCTTTAACTAATTTAAAAACCTAATTTGCGATTTTGAAAACATCTTTATCCAGTATTGCCCTGAAAGGAATTTAACAGTTTAGCATTACATGATGAGAACTTTTTAAAGTTTTAAAATAATTTATATATAGTCGTGTAAAAAGCCTAAGCTAACAAAACAATGAGACTTATTTTAGGCTTAAATAATGATTAAAGTATCTGCGACTACAATACATATATATATATATATTTCATATTCCTATTAATTAATTCTCTATGGATTTTTTATACAATATGTGTAAAAGTAGCATTCAGATCTATTTTGTCTTCCAAAATTACTGTCCAGGAAGCCTTTCGTTCAGTAACATAACTAATTAACTAAGCTGACTTAATGCAGTCAATAACAAATCTATATGCAAGATATTGTTACGACAGCGGAAGTCACGCGACGCTGGAAGCATGCGCGCTGGACTTACTAGAACGATCGTGACTTATCGGGGAACCTCACGAATATTCCAGTGTTTGCTAGACGCCCTCTTTTTTAGTATATAAGCCAGCGATAGAGTGATGTGCAGACTGATTGAAGATAGAGATAATTGAGTCAAGAGAACAGTAGGCACCGTAAGTAAAGTGTGTGAATCGCTATGAATTATAGCGTGTGTTTATAAAAGTAGTGAAGTTAAAGCGACTGTGGAAATTCTGTGTATGGCAAAGTTGTATTGAGAAAGAGTAAACTAGTTTTCATTAAAAAAGGACTTGTATCGCTGAAGTTTCTCGGAAAGAATTTCTACGGGAAATTAACAAACAGGCAGATACGCAACAATATGTTTATATATATTGTGTGAAATGTTTAGTGCATTGATGCGACGCACCTAAGGACTAGTTATGAACAATGTAACAAAAAAAAACACAAAGCAAAAAATGTGTTATTAAAGTTACCTTTAATACCTTGTTTAGCCTAAATTACCTTTTAAACGATGAGGAAATTCTTTCTTAGGCTACAGCAATACGTACCGGAGTTTCTTTACTTGTAGTACGTATTCTTAGGCTACAGCAATACGTACCGGAGTTTCTTTACTCGTAGTACGTATTCTTAGGCTACAGCAATACGTACCGGAGTTTATTTACTTGTAGTACGTATTCTTAGGCTACAGCAATACGTACCGGAGTTTCTTTACTCGTAGTACGTATTCTTAGGCTACAGCAATACGTACCGGAGTTTCTTTACTCGTAGTACGTATTCTTAGGCTACAACAATACGTACCGGAGGTTCTTTATTTGTAGTACGTATTCTTAGGCTACAACAATACGTACCGGAGGTTCTTTACTCGTAGTACGTATTCTTAGGCTACAACAATACGTACCGGAGGTTCTTTATTTGTATTACGTATTATCGTAATGCGAATTAGTTAGTTGGTTCCAGATTAAAGATTTGTTTTAAAGATTAATGCCAGGAAAATGTAGAGTGTCCAAAAGCAATCAAAACACTACCATATGAATTTTATCTTGTCTGGACTTGTTCTGTCTTTGCTTTTAAGCGTGTGACAAACATGACATTTATCAACTTATTTCTTAAATATATCGTTGTAGTTTATTGTTATAGTAACGTTAAGGTATTTATTTTCATAACTGTCCGATAGATAAAATAAGACTTATCTATATTACATTTACACGGTAATTGAACATGAGGCTTAACAATTAATAACTGATTCTTTTATTTCAAAAAGTTGTTAGCCTCCCGAAAGGTCAGTTTATGGACTTACAATGCTACAATCCTTGGTTCTATTCCCCATAGTAGACAGAGCGCTCCAATTATGGAGCTTTTGCTCCAAAACAAACCAAAAAAAAAAGTACAACAAAGTCTTTAAAATTGTCCTTTTATGTCTTTTTACTCTAGAAAACGTCTTCGTAAAATACCTAATGAACGTCTTGTTACTGTTTGTTTTTTATCAAGAGACTAGAATTATCATAAGATACCTAATGAACATCTTGTTACTATTTGTTTTTATCAGGAGACTAGGCTTATCATAAAATACGTAATGAACATCTTGTTTCTGTTTGTTTTTTTATCAGGAGACTAAGCTTATCGTAAAACACCTAATGAATATCTAATTACTGTTTTTTTTTTTTTTTTGTAATCAGGAGATTGAGCTTATCATAAAACACCCAGTGATCATCTTGTTACTGTTTGTTTGTTTTTTCATCAGGAGACTAAGCGATCAACTAGGAAGTGTTTCAAGTCCACAACTCAAACATGCAAGTCTTAAAACAGGTACAATTGGGAAACGTATTTCATCCATATTGATTTGTACCTAAAGTGAACGTTGACGTGAGCGAGGTTACGTGCCATTAAAATATTCGTGACACGCACTACTTCGCTCACGGCAGATTATTTATATTCCAGACAAACCTCTGTTGGTCTATTATTTGAGATTAAACCAAAGTTAAGTAAACCCAGAAAACGCTCCTCAGCATTATTCTTCGAAATGTTAATGGAAGTTTCGAGTTGTTGCTGACACAATGTTTGTTGTTGTTGTTATTTTTTTGTGCATGTGGTGGGGGGTCTTAAATATGTTGGAAGCTTCTCTATAGATATAAAGAGTCGAACCAACTAATATCATACAATTGTGTTTACGTAAGGTATTCATAGATTTGTGTATTAAAACCACTATTTTCTTCTATTCTTGAAGATATCCATAACTTAGTCTGATTATACATTCTCTAAATATATATATATATATATATTTGCATGAAGCACGTACGTATCTTTTTCTTGGTAAAGCATAAAGTAAAACATGTAAGGACGAAGTAGGCGTTATCGATTTACATGAGCTCAAATTTACCATATAGCCCCATGAAACATAAACCGTATTTTCTTCTGTTTCTTGTCAGCTGTTCTTTTTTAGTGTGCTATGAATGTCTGGCTAAGATACTATATGTTTTAATAAAGCTATTTATATTCTCTAGATCATGATACCAAAACCGACGTCTATTCAACTTCTCCAACCAGAAGGAAACTACCCAAGACTCCTGTAATTGTTCATTAATGTATTTGTATATATAAAAGAAAGTGGGGAAATGTATATATATATATATATATATACATATCTTTCGTAAACGTCGTATGCTTATCATTAATAATACAAAAAGTGAACATTGTATGGTTGGTTTGTTCGTAATTAAGCCCAAAGCTGCACAATAGGCTATCTGTGCTCTGCCCACCACAGGTATTGAAACCCTGTTTCTATCGTTGTAAGCCCGCAGACATACCGCTACGACACTTCAAAAAACAGCCTGGACACGGCATTTTGTTGTCGCCAAAGATCATAAAAATATAGTCAGAAATAATACGTTAGCGAATGCGACGTTTAAAATCATCCAAAAATGTTCAATCGATTTGTTTGTTTTTAAGTACAAAGCTATACAATGAGCTGCATGTATTCAATCCACTAAAGGTATCGAAACCCGGTTTTCATCCTTATAAGCCTTGGAACTTACAGCAGTGCCACTGGAGGGGGGAGGCTGCTCAATCAGGTTCAGAACCGGTGCTGTGCGTACGAAGTTGCTGTCATGCTCTTTAAATCCAATTTAACGAGTGCATAGGATTATTGCTTATCGTCTTGAAAAACAAAACAAAACAAACCTGCCCATTCATCATAGTAAACATGTCTAGCATCGTCAATATTAGAGTACCCTATGAGTGTTGTTTACTCTTCTTGCACTGTTAGAACAACACAGGTGCATGATGGAAAAATCTAATGTTCAGCAGGATGGACATAGGAGGGCATAGTAAACATGTCTAGCATCGTCAATATTAGACCACTCTAAGAGTGTTGTTTACCATTCTTGCACTATTAGAACAATACAGGTGTATGATGGAAAAGCATTAGAGTACCCTACGATTATTATTTACTCTTATTGCACTATTATAACAACACAGGTGTATCATGGAAAAGCATTAGCGTACCCTACGATTGTTATTTACTCTTATTGCATTATTAGAACAACACAGGTGTACGATGGAAAAGCATTATAGTACCTTACGAGTATTATGTACTCTACGCAAATTCCAGCAGCTATCATTATTGGAACAACACAACTCCTCATGTGGTATCTTCCATATTTTACTAAAGTGCAGTCTGGGTAAAGCACCGCTGAAGCCATGCTTTCCGGTTTTCATCTGAGATAAAAGATCTTCGGTATAGCTTGCAATTAGTATGTGAATTTTTTAAATTATTGATTCACATGATAAGAAAAAAGACGGTCAAATCCTGAAACAGCAGTTGACAGTCATAGCTCTTTTTCCTTTTGACAGACGTCCCTTGGAATTACTATTGTGGACAAACACTGAAGACAAACGTTTTTTTGTAACAATCAGTTGAAAACAAAATCTCATAAATGTTTTTTGCTTGGTTTTAGAACAAAGCCACAAAATAGGGTATCTGTTGTGTCCACCGCGGGGAACTGATTTGTTTGTTTTTGAATTTCGCGCAAAGCTACACGAGGGCTATCTGCGCTAGTCGTCCCTAATTAAGCAGTGTAAGACTAGAGTGAAGGCAACTAGTCATCACCACCCACCGCCAACTCTTGGGCTACTCTTTTATCAACGAATAGTGGGATTGACCGTCACATTATACCGCCTCAACCGCTGAAAGAGAGAGCATGTTTGGTGGGACAGGGATTCGAACCCGCGACCCTCATATTGCGAGTCGAGCGCATTAAACACCTAGCCATGCCGGCCCACCGCGGGGAACTGAACCCTATATTTTAGCGTTGCAAGTCCATAAGCTTACCGTTGTCCCAAGATCAGGACTGGCTCTGATAAAGATACTTTTGCTAATCAGGCAACTATTGTCATACACCGTTGAAGGTCAGAGAAATCACATATCTTAAATATTGCCTTGCAAACTTACTGTGATATAGAAAAAGTTCACTTGCTCACCCGGCAATCACATGAACAATCTATTTTGCACATGTGATTAAATGCAGTATTGCACTAATGTGCACGAAAGGCTCTAACAAAGTGAACAGCCAGGGTAATAATAAGTGAGAAGATAAAAAAGTTGACCCAAAATTATTCTTATCAATATACATTTCTGAATAAATAATTACATAATGTATTGTATTAGATAACGTAATCCTGAGTATATAAATTTTCCATCTGCATTCTTGAGCCTGTAACAAACACTTTAAGACATATGAGATCAAAGTTGGGTTAGTTCTACATTAAATTACTCATATCACAAACAATATAAAAATTATTTTAATCCTTTAAATATGTGAAAAAACAAACAAACGTGAGTTCAGTTACTATAAAAATTAAATTAACTTTATATAAAATTATATAATTAGCTTCTATAATGTAATTACGAATATTCTGTTTCTTAATATATACGTTAATATTTACAGAATGTTACTCATATTAGTATATTTTTTATTCAGAATGACAATGAACAAAGAGGTAGAGTCCAGGTTCAGATACGATATGATCCAGATGACAGTAGTCTGGTAATCACTCTTCTTTCCGCAAGAGGGCTCCAATATTGTAAAAATTATTCCGGTAAACTACCTCGTGCCTACGCAAAGGTTCGATTGGTGCCTCAATTGTAAGTTTAGATATAGATTGTTTTAATTAAGAATTCGTTTTTATTTAAAAGTATTTAAATATTTGGTAAACGTTACCAAAGTGAGTCCATGTTAGATGATTTGAAACAAACTCAAACCTGAATATATTGTGACAATAATTGACATGTGCAGTTAAAACTCTAAATCCTGCTCCTAAAACGTTAAGTTTATATTTGATTTCTTACTCCTAAAGAGTTAATTTTATGTTTAATTTCCTACTCCTAAAGAGTTAACTTTATATTTGATTTCCTACTCCTAAAGACTTAACTTTGCATTTGATTTCCTACTCCTAAAGACTTAACTTTGTATTTGATTTCCTACTCCTAAAGACTTAATTTTGTATTTGATTTCCTACTCTTAAAAAGTTAAGTTTATATTTGATTTCCTACTCCTAAAGAGTTAAGTTTATATTTGATTTCCTACTCTTAAAACGTTAACTTTATATTTGATTTGCTACTCCTAAAAAGTTAAGTTTATGTATAAATTTGCTATTACTAAAAAGTTAAGTTCATATTTGGCTTCCTACTCCCAAAGAGTTAACTATATATTTAATTTTGTACTCTTGAAGAATTTTTTTTTCAAAACCAGAATTAACTTAAGTTTATAAGTAATGCCTCATATCAGTTTATTATTATATTTATATCAATAAATATCCACACATCAACTATATATATATATATATATATAGCAATGTGTGTATATGATTGTATAATATTCCTTCAATATATTTTATGTTAAAGTGTTCAAATTCACTGCTTTTTTGCATATAAATCTGAAATAAACAACTACTGTATTTTAGAGGATTTCCATCAATGAAAACCCGCGTGGCTGAGCCCGGTTCAAGCCCTAAATGGAATCAAACTTTTATTTTTCCTTCAGTGTCATCCGAAGAGGTAAGGAGTAAAAATATAATTGAAATGGAAAATCGTTTTCTTAGTCACTCTTTTTTACCAAAACATCGTCATATTATTATTTCCAGTCTTTCTAAACACAAAATGACATCTCTCTATCTTTTTTTAATATCTTGGTTTTTCATTTTGTTACGAATTTTAGGTTTGAAGAAATTACCAAAGAACCCACACATACATATAAGGAAAGGGGGTATAATTAAGAGTAAAAAACACAAAATGCGACGTTTTTGTGGCACAATAAAAGGTAAAAATTTTATTACTAGCTATAGCCGAATAGTTTTGGTTACACAGTAAATGTATTATCGAAACTAGTCGGCTATAACTAATAATAAAGATTTTACCTTTTTTTGCTCCAAAAAAAATGTCGGATTTTGTGTTTTATGCTCTTAAAATAAAAGCACAATATACACTAAAGTATATTGTAAATAAGGTATAATTTTATTATATATATATATATATATATATGTATTAACGGTTTAAGATATAACTTCATATGATAGGTATGTAAGAAAAGAGAAGGAGTAAAGCATTAGTTATATGTTATATCATTGTTTGTTCTATTATCTTCTAGCTTGCCACTAAGACGTTAAATATCACTGTTTGGGATCAGATTTCATCTGGTGAAAAAAGGATTTTAGGCGAAAGCCAGATTATTTTACGATGCGAAGAACTCCAAGAATGTCCCGCGTGGTACTATCTGACCTCTCTCCAGATGGCGCCCATGAAACGGTCTAGAACATGCAGTATGTCTTCTGATGACTTGGCCCAAAGACAATTACAACATAATGGAACGAATCAGATTATCTGCTTTCGTTCTTATTCTGGTAAACTGTTTAATATACATTTGCTGATTTTTAATTCACCAACATCAACTAATAATTTAATACATTTTTATTGATAACTTGAAATTGAAGAATTATAGCGTATCGAAATATGTCATTATGAACATTACTTTAAATTCGTTGTGAGAACGAGAGATGTAAATAAAAAATAAGAGATAATTAATAGTCTATCTAGTAAAAAAATTAAGGAATAGATATGAAATTAAAAGTGTATAAAATCATTGTACTATCTCGCGAAAAATATAGTAATTCAAAACCTAATTTATATGGTACATTGGAATAAAATATCAATTTTCTTTTTTTAGATGGGAAAAGTTACTTAGACAGAAAAGAAGAAAGCTTAGTGAAGAACACATCTATGGACTCTTCTTGTAAATTATGCATACTTTTCATTAGGCTAATATTTTCAAATGCCATGAAGCTGAAAAGTACCAAACTCTATCTTAAGTTATTGGGTTTTCCAGACTTAACTCTTTTTTTTTTTACCGGAGGAGGATCATAAATGTCATTTAAGAAGCAATAGAATCTGCAGACTTAATTTGAGTTTCTAAAAATGGTATACAAATTAGTAATTATGAGTTTTGAAATTATTTATTAAACCACAGTTATATTGTTATTATAGTATAATTTAACTATTATAGTGTACGATCATATTTTGGGACTTATATAAGGTTGTGGAATTGGATATTTGGCACTAGTGCTTGGATGCTTGACACTAGCGCGTACTCTTTTAGTAGCAAAGCGTTTAAGAGCATATTAAATGTGTTTTTTTTTAAGATTACCAACCCTTAAAGCAGTATTTGTTAGCTATAAGTTTTAAATGAATCAAAATTACCAATTATAAATATTTAAAAGGTGTTTGTTTGTTATTAAGCACAATGAGCTATCTGTGCTCTGCCCATCGCGTGTATCAAAACCCGAATTTTAGTATTGTAATCTCAGAGACTTACCGCTGAGTCACCGGGGGGGTTATAATAACATGTAAAAAATGTGATGTAGATACACACATTGAATGCCATTTAAACGATACATGATAGTAATAGAACATTTAGACGATTTAATGTCTTGCGAAGATTATATAATTTGATATTGTATAAATTATTTCAAATGTCATAGATGAGAAAATTAAAAAGATCGTTTTCCAAGTGCGGTTTGCATTTTCGTGCAATAAAATATTTTTCAACTTTAAAAAGTTGTGTTGCTTCGAACAGTCAACAAAACGTAATTTAATTCGCAATATGAATGCAATATTAGTTTTTCAACTATAGTTTTGCAACTATAAATTAGCTTTCGAACCCTTCTCCAAATCAAAATGTTTAGGAACTTTTAGTCCTATGATTTTAGCAGAAACGTTATTGTCCTAGATATTGTCTACTGTGAACGTTTCAATATATCTATATTAAAATTCTTCGCTAAAATTCTGATGTAGAAAAACATCTTTATCTTTGATTCAAAATGCTGTAGAAAGGGAACACGAAACTATAGTATGTGATCAGTGCAGGCGAAAATCTGATCCTTGAAGACCAAATATTTTAATACTTTGATGCTAAAGAGGATTAAATCACTGCCTTCATAGCATCAAATATTAATAAATTCACACATTTTAAATCATTTTGAAAGCTTCCTCACAAATTAAAAACAATTTAAATACAGGGACTTCATAGTTTCTTTAAATCCTTGTTAGCAACTGATTTTGAGAAGAGACTTAAATATTAAGCAGATATGTACAAACAAACTAATAAAACCTAAGCCTCTTCAAACGCAAGATTACAGTTTGTTCTCTTACAGGAAATGGAGGTTAAATTCACCAGAGTTACACAAAAAACTTAATCTTATCTGTAGACTTTCTTTTTCCACATTGATGATTTACGTAGGCATTGGTGTAGCATTTATGTTGTTAATAAATTATTATGTTCTAAAAATAATTATAGATTCGTCTTTAAATGAAAGTTTCATTATTTGTCTTTAGTTACTTTTAAAGACCGATAATTTTATTCCGACTTATATTTTCTCTTCAAGAAGAAATAATTTCGAATAAAGTCATTTCAACTTTAGCAATTCGAGAGTAGAATAAATTTAAATATTTCCTAATTTTTAAACCAACGGCGTACCTGCGTTGTCTATGTGACTTCTGATCAAAATGTTCCTAAATTCCTTAATGGGAAAACTTGGTTTTAGACAGTTTTTTTCAACAAGTATGTAGAAGAACCACCATTTCATATCCCTATTTATACATATAATTTTTTTAATAATTCAATCCTCTTGTAACTGAATAATTTTATTCTTTACACAAATTGAACTAAAGTTGTTGTAGTTTTGGTGCAAAGAAACACAATGCGCTATTTACATTCTGTTTACCGCGGGAAATTGAACCCCAGATTTTAATGTTGTAAGTCCGTAAACTTACCGCTGGCCCACAGGTGGACAAATTATTTAAAGCTCATGAATACTTTTCATATCTGTTGTGATGCCGAATAAAATAAACTTTTATTTTTCTTGAAAAATAATCTTTTATAAATTCACATGATTTGATGATTAAATTAAATGTAATTCTACATCCTACTCGACTCGTTTTGCAACTATATGCCTTTTCGTCACTGAATATGCTCGACCTTCCAGGTGTAGGAGCGATATAATATGACAGTCAATCCCACTATTCGTTGGTAAAGAGTAGCCCAAGAGTTGGCGGTAAGTGATGTTGACTAGCTACCCTCCCTCTATTTTATCACTTCAAAATTAGGGACAACTAGTACAGGTATTCCTCAAGTATCTTTGCTCAAAATTCAACAAACAAAAACAAAATTGGTCGGAAGGTGTTTTACATTCTATTACATCTTAAACAACTCTATATTTACAATAAAATTTGTGTCCCTAAAGAGAGAGAAAGAGACTTTTTGGTAAATAACTTGGTATCTAACTGAAGAATATTAATCATAATCCTTCATTTTCAGCTGTAGTAAAAAATAAAGCTTTAGATAAGTAGATGCAAATTCGATACCTTAAATTATATTTTACATAGAGACTTTTCTTATATTTAACTATGAAGTGGATTCATACTAAATACGACCCCAGTGGCTCCGCGGTAAACTTTATGGTCTATAATGCTGAATTTTGGGGTTAGATCATTGCAGTGAATACCACGAAAGTAGTCTATTGTGTAGCTTTGTGCTTATAAAAAATAAATAAACTTGCTTAATATAAAACTTAGCTGCCTCCTAGTTAGGTATAATTCGACTTACATCAAATCTGTTATGATCGTTTTACCTGAATTAGTTAGACTCCTAATTAAGTTATACCCATTCATAAGTTATAATCATTTTTATAAAATCGGACTGCTGTTGGTCAAGTTAATTAAATTATCTACAAGTTACCGAACCAAACTAACAAAGTAAATCGTAGAGGGGAATAATTTCTACAGGTTGCTTGACCAATAGACAAATTAGAGATTGCCAATACAAAATCTTCGAACATCTAATAGGTAATTCGATGACGAAGAACCCACTTTGAGACTAATAATGGCTTGAATGGATAATGAAGGAAAACTTTAATATAAGTTTAACATAACAGCAAATGTACAACGTTTCGACAATGTTTTGTCATCATCAGGGACCTGATGATGACAAAACCTTGTCGAAACGTTG